CCGGCTACCGTGGCCAAGTGATATATGCTATTCAATAGTGTGATGAAGCTGCTCCAGAACTGTTGAAATTTGATTATTTCGTTCCCCTGGTTCTAATCGAACACCGCTGTGCACGTAGGGTCGCATCCAGGCGTGTGGGGGAGGGGAGGGGGGACATCCCACCCACCTCCTTAAGCCTCTCATGAGGTTTTTGACGGCATAAAAGGGCACCAAAATATTTCGGCGAATAAATACCAGGATCTTCATTTAGTGGCGTCATGACCTGCGTTTTCAGGGGGATCTCTGCGCCTCCGCACTGCCTACGCGCACAATTTCATCCCAGGCCGCAATAGTCGCGTTTTCCTATGATTTTTTTCTTCGAATAAAAGGTAGTTTTACTTGCTTGCAGCGTAGTATGCCTATTATCCCTCCGTTTTTAAATCCGTGAAACTCATGAGGTGTATGGATTTCTCGGGTGGCATTCCTCAGTTAGCACTGGGTCAGTTTTCGTACTCCTTTAATATACTCAAAACATGCAGCGCAAGGTCTGATTTTTTCCTCCTCCACGATACATAACAGGTTACATATTTCAGGAAGCTGAGCGTAGGTTTTTTCCGCAAGAAGACATTACGTGTCAAGTCCACGAATTTCAATAGCTTCACCGCTTTCTGCCACGACCACCAACGATCCAATATAAGTGTCATGACATGACAGTTGAGTGATATTACGTTTTAGGTATCGTGTACAAGTCATTGCCTTTGTTTTCAATAATTCATTGTGTGGTTCGATTCCCCGCGGTGTCCACCGGGGTGAGAGGCAGTTGTCACCATGAAGTCTCAGTAGCATCGTAAAGCACCAGCGACACACAACCGTTCACTGTGAGTATAGTGACCTACGAAAGGCAAGTTTCTGCTGGTTTCATTGCACGTAAGTTGCCGATGGCTTGTCAGTCGAACGTATTAGTCAGGTGCAGTGCGCCTGCCTGATGGTATGTAATCGCTAACTTTGAAGGGAGTGTTCCACAATTGTATGGGTTTAAAAACTGAAATAGCCGTCTTGAAGATCACTCGGTCCAGTGCACAGCCCAGCATTTCTTAAGGACTAAATCCTCCAAGTTTCTGAGCTACAAGCCCGCGAACATGTGCATACTATTTCGTAAACTATTTCAAGGTCACCCGGGCATCCATGACACCATAATAACGTCATTCAAACCATGCCAATCCATTAGCCATGCGATGATCAGAGCCAAGAAAGTACAATGCTGGGCCGTTCATTTCTGGCGTTCGTGAGCACGATTTCCAGATAAAGCGGTCGTCTACTGGCTCTCCATCAATGCTGTGCAAATTACGATGGCGTAATAAGACAACGGTGTATTAAGGAGTATGTTCACGGAGCAGAAAAGTTTTGTTGTCTAGAGCAGTCTTTTCCACTTAAAAATACATCATTAGTTATAAATGAGCTTAATGCATCATATCTGATGATTGCCTTCATATCTTCAGATGTGGTGCATTCCCTTCAACTAGTTTTGCCATAACTCCTCTAAAATGTTGTTGGAAGGAATTGTCAGGTTCTGGAAAAAGGTGAACGTACGCTATGCGCAAACATATCTACCTATGCCTAGCCTTCCACGATGCGCAGAATTCGATAGTTTCCCGATTAGCAAAATAAGAACTGACAATGATGTGGCCGAAATGCGGGGAAATGCTGTGAGAGGGTGAGGTACCAAGCTTCAGCGCACCAGTTGCCAGTTCCACAGTAAAGCGTGGCCATTCCTTGACGCAATTCCGGATCCGCCTTCAGCAGTACACCTAAAAACTGTAGAGTTTTTTTGTGGCTTCCACTATGGCTGTGGGGGATCTCTGGCTCGACCAGTGATGAGCGCAGCCCGAGGCCGATCGCAAAGACGCGCTGGAAACCACATTAATTCACAGTTGTTTAAAATGTGGTATTTGCGCCTCATTTCCCCAGTACAGTACAAGAACCCTGTGAGCCAATAGCCCAGTAATGCAATTGTTTGATATCTTAGGTACACATGAAATTATAAGCTTGGATTTGTGATGTATCTCCATTTTACCTATCTTTGTTTCAAAGAACTGACAAGTTTTGGGCGCCAAGTTCCATGCCGTGGAGGCTCTGTCCAATATTGCGGGAGTCCAGCCCAATACTGCGTGGGCCAAGTCTAACATGGCGGGGGATCCAGCCCATCACTGGTGGGGGGGGAGGGGGCTACCCCAAAGAGACACAGATTTCCAACCCTGATATGAATGAGTCAGTACGAAAAAATGTTATGCACGTACAGGATACTAAATGGTTTAAAGTACACCTCAAACTAATAGAGATGCGTCAAGTACCCAATGTACCAAAAGCAAAGCGAACTTGTCTGCATTTCTTTGGCCCGGTATTCCCTTTTTGCTCATACGCACATATCCAGTCGGGAGGCTCAGAAACCAATGAGGGGGCTCAAGTCAGCATTGAGAGAAAGAGGCTCATCCACCCCCTCCCCCACCAAAAAACGAACAACAAAAACCAGTGTATCATTTGACGATCCTGGCCGTGCTGATTGCCAGTTGTGCTGATCAGCTTTGACCGAGTGGTTAGCGTCGGCTGTACAGCCATGCGGAGCCCCGCTGGCTGGCGATGAGGCGCCTCTCACAAGTTCCGCTCGACATAGTACGTGAAAATACAACCTGCCTCCAGACATACTGTATTCGTCATGTAACGGCAGGTTTCCATAACGTACATCATCTTACACTTAAGACAGCTGTGCAGGGTTTTCATGGTGGCTGCATCCGCTCCTTCCAGAACATTTAACAAGGACGCACATACGACCATATTTCGATATTCTGGGCTGGCTGCAATATTGTGTGATTGATTCGCGATTCGTTGTCTAAGAACTTAGCTGCGAACTCCATAAAGGCACCCTGACTGGCGCGTTTCTGCCACTAACTAGAGTTTCTCGGGCGTGTTCCGGGCAAAGTGCATGCATTGTTTTTTTGCCGGTCCTGCACGTGCCAGTCAGGTAGCTGATGCGGTATGAGTGCAATGATCAGGCAGATTGTGGGGTTGAATGCAAGCGAGGGCTTGCTTCTTAGCGAAAGTGTAGTCTAGGCGCAGCGTTTTACATAATCACTTAGCTGGATAACCGTTCGTTGCGGAATGTGCACTGCACAAAAAAGCATGAGTAGCACGGTATGTTTCTATGCGTGCGATACCACGAGCACGCATCGTAACGCGTTCGGTATTCACAATCACAGGCTTGCTTAGGCATGGAGCACAAATGCTGACACATGCTGTCCTGCCCGATCGCCGATTTTCTGCATTTGTACATCACTGACTGACGAGTTCGTGCGAATCTCCACTCTCCGCGATAGCGTCGCCGGGCTGTCTCCATCGGCACCGGCTTGGTCGCGATCAGCAGACCTGATCAGCCTCCGCACACGGCCGTTAGTACGGTCGATCCCAGCAGGCTATGCGCCGTTGGTCTGGTCTGGTCCGGTGTCGGAGTGGTGCGCACCGACCCGCTGAAAGACTCATCTGGGTAAGCGGGCCGGTGGTCGGCCAGCTGCCGGTCCTGCTGCCGAGCGCTTCTCGCGCGCGCGGGGCTCTCCCAGCTGTGAGCCGGTGCCAGTGTCCGCCGCTCTCGTCCGGCTGTGAGGCGGGCCCGCTCACGAGCTCGGCACCGGCGCCACTGGCCGGCGGTCCACCAGTGGCAGGAGTCGCCGCACCGCAGCCGCCTCCCTCCATCGCCCTGCAACGGAGCGTCCCGTCACTGGCCGCCATCTTGCCAGAGGACATTGAGGGACGGGGAGAGGGATCACTTGACTACCCAGCTCGAGGAGCCCATGACTGTCCAGTCTAGGATCTCACGACCACCCAGTCCAAAGACAGATAGAGAGACTCCATGATTACCTAGTCCGAGGACAGAGAGAGGGATCCCGCGACTATCCAGTCCGAGGACAGAGAGAGGGACTCCACGACTTCCCAGTCCGAGGACAGAGAGAGGGACTCCATGACTTCCCAGTCCGAGGACAGAGAGAGGGACTCCATGACTTCCCAGTCCGAGGACAGAGAGAGGGACTCCATGACTTCCCAGTCCGAGGACAGATAGAGGGACCCCTCGGACCCCAGTCCGAGGACAGAGAGAGGGACTCCATGACTACCCAGTCCGAGGACAGATAGAGGGACCCCTCGGACCCCAGTCCGAGGACAGAGAGAGGGACTCCATGACTACCCAATCCGAAGACAGAGAGAGGGACTCCATGACTTCCCAGTCCGAGGACATATAGAGGGACCCCTCGGACCCCAGTCCGAGGACAGAGAGAGGGACTCCATGACTACCCAGTCCGAGGACAGAGAGAGGGACTCCACGACTACCCAGTCCGAGGATGCCGCTCAGAGGCGATGGTTCCGCAACACGTCGCCATTAGCGTGATGATGGGTCAGATGATCATCGGCCCTCCATCTACGCACTTTTTCCGTGCGCTCCGCATCAGACCTCTCACCCCTCTGCTGCATACAGGCACAGTCACAGTAAGCAGCAGCTCGCAGCCATTAAATATGCACGTTTGCGTGAGTTTCTTATTGTTCGCGACCCATTGAACAATACAATGCGTGCGCGGGATGCGATCAGCAGCTTTTGTTGTGCAAATGAATCGCCGAGCGCGTATTGTGATGCGTTACACCGAAGTCGGCACCACGTGTCAAGCCCTTGGCTCGCTGGCCGCCTCCGTCCGACGGATCGGCCGCCGCAGCTCGGCCGGCGTCGGCGTGCCCTGCAGGGGTCGTGTGCCGCGACAGGCCCCGGGGAGAGCGGCCGGACTGTGGGGCGTGACGGCGCCGTGCGTCACACTGTGACGTCACCGTCGGCGACATCGCCATCAGTCGGCCGTGCGGGGAGAGTGAGGGCCAGCGTCTGGCGCTCGTGCGTGGTGAGGAGGGAGAGCTGGTCGCGCGGCTCGACCGCTCGCCCGGCTCGAAACCAGACACGACGCGCTGACCGAGCGACTCGGCTGAAGGCGCCGTCACTGCAGCTGAAAGATGGCTGCGCCGTTCTCATCGGACGAACGCGCGCTATGCACTGCGCATGTGAATCAGGCATGACTTACGGCGATGACGACGTTCGTCATTGGGAGTCATTACCGAAAGGCCGCAAGTCACCAGACGTGCCCGCCTGCCGAGCATGCTTCAGCCGCCTCGCTGGCGCTCTCTCGGCGCGCGGTGTTTCCCATGCGAGCCGCGAGAGAGCCTGCACGCTCGGCTGCCGCGCGCCCGTGCAACACGCCACGAGCGGAGCGCGATCGGAAGGCAGCCTCCCGGTCAGCAGGCAGCCTCCCGGTCAGCAGGCAGCCTCCCGGCCCGACTGCCGCCGACGTCTCGGCGGCGAGCTCGCGCACGGCAGCGGTAACCGGGTCAGCGGCCGGCGTGTTATTGGCAACTGGGGCGTCCCGCGACCTTCGCACCGGCTCAGTTCCGAGACGTCACGGTGACGGGCACGCGTGACCGCAGGACGTGACGGATTCTCTGGCGGATGGCAGACGCCGCCGAAGGCTCCGAGACATCCGGGCAACGCCGGGAGGTAGAGCGGAGGCGCCGAGTTGAGAAGGTCCGGAGCTCTGCCGAGAAGCCTTGTTCATTAGAGGAGCTGCGGCAGCGTATTTTGCAAGGTAGAGCGGAGGCGTTGAGTCGAGAAGGTCCGGGGCCCTCCTGCCGAGGAGCTCTGTTCGTTACAGGAGCTGCGGCGGCATGTATCGGAACTACTCTTCATCCCGTTCTCGGACACAGTCCGAGCCGACAGACCGTGACCCGTGTCGACGACACGCGACCCTTGAGGCGGGATAGCGCCGCGCCGTCGCGGCCGCGGCCGTGCCGGGCCCGGCCTTCAGACCGCAGACGCGACGGGCCCGACCTCCAGACTGCGGACGCGATGGGTCCGGTCTCCAGACCGCGGCCGCGGCCGTGCCGGGCCCGGCCCGGCCTCCAGACCGCGGATGCGACGAGTCCGGTCTCCAGACCGCGGCCGCGGCCGTGCCGGGCCCGTCCCCCGGACCGCAGCCATGGCGGGCCCGGCCTCCGAACCGCGGCCGCGCCGGCGCGCAGCACGCTCCTGAGCTGAGGCGCCCCGTGTAATGAGCCGAGTGGGACGCCCGCGTAATGGGCCAGCGACACCGCCGCTCGGACGCTGCGCACGTGATTCATAGCGTGGTCCGGCGCCGGTGGCTGGGCGCCACGGGAACACTGTGAGAGCTAGCACAGGGCAACGGTCACCGGTCACGGCTCGCCTTCTTTCCAGCGGGAGCCGTGGACAACGGTGGTGCAGGAACGCGCGCCGTTCAGTTCGTAGGCCGGCTTGTACTTGTATGTTTCCGCCGTGGAGTTCTAGAGGTCGTATATCATGCTTCTGAAGCGCTCCGAATTCCCTGTTTGATGACGAGTCATGAAAACGTAGTTATCTCTTACATGGGTCACGATCTTTTTAAAACGTCTTGCCGGTTTTAAAGTCTGAGCAATCTTTTTAAAATGTTTTGCTGGTTTGAAAGTCTAAGCAAAAGAGTACAAATTTCAAAACAGATCCGATTAGCTTTGAACTATTCGCACTAAGACAGCCTACGTTACGAGGGCCCAAAAAACCCTGGACATGCCTTCAAGCTGCATAAGTGACCGCGCAGTTCCTGTCGTCGGAGCTATCGTGGGCAGCGGTAAAACCGTTAGCCGATAATCTGTAGTATTCCGTTGTGCTATCCGGCACTGGGCCGTGGGACCAGTTCAGGGAATTATCTCATACGCTCCGGAACTTCTCGATGTAAGTTCCGCGCTGGTGTCTGTGGAACTGGTCCCTACTGGAGCCTAAGTACGAGCAGGACATTCGAAGAAATGGCGTTCAAAATCATATCAGTTTTTTTAAAAGGCCTCTTTCTTCCTAGTTGTTCGTGAGTTAAAGGAACAAACTGCGATGTCGCGTTCAATTAAGTACACCCGACTGAGCTAGTTACACTTTTGAAGCTCCCCATTCGTACCCTATTTACTTGAGTGTGTTATGTTCCTTCGCCATGCTGCATGATTAGATAATACGATTAATATATGTTGCTGACTCTGGCCCAGCTTTGTACCATTATCCGAACGTTGGTATTGTCTGGGGATGTTTCAGATTCTACAGACTGCAGCAAGTTGCAGTATTTTGTCACGGCGTGATATTCGGAAATTGAAAATAAAGCGGTCGCATATAAGCACGCAAAAAACGTGGTCAAGTCATTTGCTGGCACGTCCGGAAGAACTCTTCAAATGTGCCAGCGTCTATTTCGACGTGAATATTCGATGGAGCAGTTACGAAAACCTGACAATCGACACCAGCCGACCGAACCGATGGCGGTAATCGTCCGACGATGGTCACCAAAACTACACTAGCCGTGTCCAACATGCCTAACGCGAACATTACTCCCGAAGCCGTGCTGTCCAGCACGTCTGAGGCAGCATCATATTGACGCTACGTCGATTACCGACGCCCTTTTTCGACGATCGACGCCGGACAAAATGGTAATGGTACCCAACCACGCCATCTTCCACCGAGACAGAGTGGGAAATGTATTAGAGCAGGGCTGTGGTTTGCTATTTAGTTGGAGGAGGACTTTTGATAACGTTGAGAGGAAATTGAGTCAAATCCGGAAGAAATACGTTTTAAGTGTATTTAGGGCTGATTTTTCGCCACTCAGTCCCCCCCCCCCCGCCGATCCTATTTTGAGAAACTACGCCGTCTGGTGGAGGCTTAACGGCCGTGATACTCGGCGGAGTCGCCATCAGATTACTCCAGCGTCAGGTCTGGGACTGAGGACCCATTTCCTAGCGGCGACATGGCCGGAATCCGCGCTTTATATTGGCCGAGGCCCCTGAGTCAATGAGGGCTCCTATGCCGGTCAGAAGATCCCACTGCCTAACAAGCTAGGAAATCAGGTTCGGTCTAGGCCGTGTTCGGAGAGCGGGCCGCAGAGGAACCCGAAAGAGCCCATCGGGACCGACGAACAAATGGCCGGTTGCATAGCACGAAGGGCTGTCTGTACGTCACATTGGAAAACCCGGCTCGCAGAGACGGGCCCCCAAATGTCAGCCAGAGGGCCTCTTGCCTTGCAGCGACTGAAAACCCTCGGAACTCTGAAGGCCCCTTCGTCGGTCAGAGACCACCAACATCGCAAAGTCGACTCCGTGTCGGTCTAAGCACTGGGAGCCCATTTCACAAGCGGGGACAAGGCCGGCGCGCACGATTTGCATCGGTCAGGACCTCTGGAGCGATGAAGGTTCATGCGTCGGCCAGGGACCAACAGCGCCTAACCGGACCGGCCGGCGAAAGGCCCCGAGTCCGCCAGGAAACATTTCCTGACCAGGGACATAGACGGAAATCTGAATGCCAGAGGGCCTCTTACGTTGGGCGAGGCCCTCTGGCAATGCGAGGAGATAGAATAACTTATTATGAGAGTCCACAATGAGACGATGGAAAGACCTTGTGTCAGCTAGGGCCCCAGAGCAGTCCAGAATCACCTGCACTGGGCCCCGCGTATCGGGGTCCTCTATATATGTCTACGCTCACGGGATCCTCAATATCTCTGTAAAATCCAGATAAAATTGACTGTGTGGATCTGACAGTGACCAACGAAGCCTCCCTGAGCCTGTTGCCGACCTGTGTGGATCTGACAGTGACGAATGAAGCTTCCCTGAGCCTGTTGCCGACCTGTGTAGACCTGACAGTGACCATTGAAGCTTCCCTGAGTCTGTTGCCGACTTGACTGTGTGGATCTGGCAGTGACCAGCGAAGCTTTCCTGAGCCTGTTGCAGACCTGTGTGGATCTGACAGTGACCAATGAAGCTTCCCTGAGCCTGTTGCCGACCTGTGCAGACCTGACAGTGACCACTGAGGCTTCCCTGAGTCTGTTGCCGACTTGACTGTGTGGATCTGACAGTGACCAACGAAGCTTTCCTGAGCCTGTTGCAGACCTGTGTGGATCTGACAGTGACCAATGAAGCTTCCCTGAGCCTGTTGCCGACCTGTGTAGACCTGACAGTGACCACTGAAGCTTCCCTGAGTCTGTTGCCGACTTGACTGTGTGGATCTGACAGTGACCATCGAAGCTTCCCTGAGCCTGTTGCAGACCTGTGTAGACCTTACAGTGACCAATGAAGCTTCCCTGAGCCTGTTGCCGACCTGACTGTGCGGACCTGACAGGGACGACCTGATACTGCAGTGTCTGACCGTGTCCACCTGACAGTGTGCGATCTCACAGTGCCTGGTTCTCGGTGTGTGGTCTGACCGTGTCCACCTGACAGTGTGCGATCTCACAGTGCCTGGTTCTCGGTGTGTGGTCTGACCGTGTCCAGCTGGCAGTGTGCGATCTCACAGTGCCTGGTTCGCGGTGTGCGGTCTGACCGTGTCCACCTGACAGTGTGGAGTCCTGCGGCGCTTACCTCTGCGCCGGCTGCTGTGACGGCGGGCGCGCCGGCCGTGTCGCCTGCACACCATGCCGTACACCCGGATGGCCGGCACGTGGGCGTGGTACGGCTGCTTGTGCTGCAGCGGCCCCTCTGAGAGCGCAGGCCACCGTCCGTCAGAGATGCCGCACTCGCCGTGTGCGCCCACACGCCCACTCGCCGTGTGGGAATCACACGGAGCGCGTGTGCACGTCCACAGTCGCATGTCACCACCCACATAACGCACGCACGTCAATAGACGCACGCCGAGACATGTCGCACGCACGTCCGTAAAAGAGAAAACATGATGGATACCACAAACGCACAAATGCAGACGACAGTTTGTGACGTAAAAAGGTACTGGCATTTCAGAGCTAAATTACGCGACTCAGCCGAGCGATAGTGCGTTAGCGGTTATAGGCTGCGTGGCGCAATTCCGTTGAGCATCGCCATAACGAATAAGCGTCACGCGAAACGCTCCCTATGTAGAGGGCCTGTGTCCATCCAGGGACCCGTCCCATCTTGGGAGTCCGATGTCATAGCATCACTCCATCTTCACGGTTCGGGTATAAGGATACATTCACAAGCTGGGTGGCTGTTGTAGTCGGCACCGGAGCGCCCACGCCCCGACAAGAAACCTGAATAACGGTATCGACATTCGTTCGTTAACGGTTGGCTTCTGCCTCCCAGGGGGGTGTCGGTGTTGGAGCAGTACGTCCGGGGTCGCCGGGGACGGCCCCGTTTCGGGCTTACTGACCGAGCCAGCCGTCGGCCGGGCAGCGGCACACCACCAGAAAGTGGGAGCGGCCGGTGCGCGCGTTCTGCACGGCCAGGAGGGCCCAGTCGCCGCCGACGCACGACGCGATGTCCCGACTCCTCTCGCAAGTCTTCACTGTCGTCAGCGCCTGCGACACGACCGTCAACGACCGGTCACGGACCGCCGCAGGTAAACCACCGGGTCACGGACAGTCACGGGTACACCCCAGGATCACGGGCAGTCACTAGCACACCCGAGGGACACGGGCGGACACTAGCACACCCCAGGGACACGGACAGTCACTGGCACACCCCAAAGACACGGGCAGTGACTGGCACATCCCAGGGTCACAGCCAGTTACTAGCACACCCGAGGGACATGGGCAGACACTAGCACCCCCCAGAGTCACGGGCAGGCACTAGCGCACCCCTGGATCACGGGCACTAGCACACTCCAAGGTCATAGGTAGTCACTAGCGCACCCCAGTGACACGGGCAGTCACCAACACACCAACTGGGCAATGGTAATGACTATCACACCATCGGCCCATGGCTGCCACCAACACACTACCGGGGAAAAGGCAGCGACTAGCGGGTTACGGACAGTCACATGCACGCGAACAGGTCATGGATAGTAGCTGACACATCACCGGGTCATAGACTGTTACGAACACACTCTCATACCGACGCGTCACGGACAGACACGTCACAACACCGGGCCTCTGACAGGTGCGACGGTACACACTCACCGACGCTGACGGGTCGGTGACCAGCGCGATGCTGTGCTGGTCGCTGCTGAGCAGCCTCGAGCTGCAGGGCGCCCCGTAGACTGGCGGACACACGCACTGCAGGGTGGCGTGGCGCAGGCGTGTGTACACGGTGGTGCAGACCTGCGACGGCACGGGCGGTTTGGGACCGAGCACGGCAGCGTTAGAGTACCTAACGGCAGCGTAGGGTTAGGGTGTTATGGCATTAGTGTTACGGCACAAGCTCCTACCAACTACAACATCAGTTGTAAGTTATACTGCTTTTACTGCAAGAACTTTAAAAGACTTTTCATATGCGCGGCATTAATTCCACTGCAAACACCTATACACGACATGAGTGCTATAAGATAAAATGTATACTTCAAAATACTTATACATATCATTACATCCACTGTGAAATGCTACGGTCTTTCTTATATGAGGCATTATTTCTACTGCGAAAGCTCATGCACGACATGAGTGCTAGATGACAAAACTTATACTGCAAAAACTTAAGTCCCTCACTCCTTTTACAGCAAGACTTATACATTCTTCCCTTCTACGCGGCATAACGTTTCCTACAAAAACCCGTACACGACAAAACTTAGCCAGCAAAAACATATGCCAGTTAAAAGCCGTTTTCACCATGGATTAAGGGGCTGAAAAGTTTTCAAGAAGTATTGAAATATTTCTATGATGCTTTTGTATATGCGACATACTTTGGCAAGATAAGCTTGTTTTCATGCGATTCCTTCCGCATGCAACAGATAAACCATATGTGCCTTAGTTCACTCAAATTCTAGGAAAAGATTAGGCCTGGGATTCAGCAATGTGCATCAGTCAAAGGCGTTGGATGCCGGCTGCTTCATTATTGTTTCCATCGGTGCTGTGGGGAACAAGGCGGGCTCTGAGGACCATTCCATTCAAGGATCAATCATCTTGGATCATGTTAAGGTGTTTAAGGCCTGTAAGCTCTGTATGTACCGTAAGCAAGCTTTGTAAGTATTGTAAGTGGGCCTCGTGAGTAATGCACACCTATGACACCTATGACACCACCTATGACAAGAGACGCTACTAAAATATAGTAGTTGGTTTTGTCGGGTCTGCGTCATAAATGCCCAATCATGTTTTTAATAAACTTGGAGAAGTTTCAAAAGGAAGAGATATGGCACCATACCCGTCCATAAAAACATGAACTTTCTCATAGCCCCCTAACCTAACTTAATTATGCGTCTTTACAAGTATGTGCCTTTAAATCTCAACGAAATATTTTTTAGTCGCAAAATTGCTGGTGAAAGGTGCGTGGTTACAACATAAGCAGAGAAAAGTTTCAAACGTTTTGCCCCGTAATCATTCGTGAAAACGACGATCACGACTTCAGCAGAGACAAGATGACAGTTTTTGCTGTAGCATTTTGTTGCGTATAAGTCTTTGCAGCAGAAGTAATGCCGTTTATAAGCAATGAATGTGTGACCTTTTACAGTAGAGGTAATGGCGGGTATAAGCTATTCAAGTATAAGTTTTGTCGTGTTGCACAAATGTTGCGTGCAAACCTTTGCAGTTGAAGTAATGTCGTGTATAAGTAATGACTGTGTAAGCGTTTCAAGTAGAAGTGGTGACGAGTATAAGTACTTGCAGTATAAGTTTTGCCACGTAATACTAATGTCGCACGTAAATATTGGCAGTTGAAGTAATGTCGTAGCACTCCTGTCGGTGGTAGTTTTCGTTGTAGCCATAATGTCGTGGAACCGTTCACGCGGAAGCGGAATCTAGCTGAGGCCCGGCTGTAACCTGGGGTCGGTATGTGAGCGATTCGTGGCGTTAGGAGACCCGAACAAATATGTCTGATCACACAGGCGCACAGTGTATTGCGGAAAATAAGGAGCGACGAATCCTACGAACCAGTGGATGAGGGGCGGGGTGCGCAATGGACCCCTGTCATCGTTGCGTCATTGGGCCTCGGTCTATTTTGAAAGCTGACGGAGCCAAGAGTGCTCGGTTGTTCTCCGTTTTCCACCATTGTCTGTGAAAGGGCACTGCGATTGGCATCAGAGGCTTGTCACCAGGCTCGTCGTCTACCCGGGGAGTGGGACGGGATCGCCGACATGCGTTGACGTCTCAGCCGGAGGCGCCACGTAGCGTGCTCTGGGCCGCCTTGCAGGCTACGTCACCTGTTGAGGCGCGCACGTCGGCAGCAGCTGACCTCCAGCAATCGACGGTCCTTGCCATGCCTGAAGCAAGCACAACAGGCGAATACGTTACGACGCGACACGGCACCAAACCGTCTCCCGGGTAGCGGCCGAGTTCAGGAGCCGTTTGTAATCTATGTATGTCGGGCATAGGAGCAGCGTTGAGCATGATTGCAATGACAGCTTCTTGACGCAATCCCTGAAAATATGCGCGGGAGTGTCAGTCGGCTGGCAGCTGAGTCGCGCTGGTGCCCAGATCGGTCACGACAGCGGGGAGTTTTTCGAAGCCGCGCCGTGTTCCGGTGGAAGAGTCCGTTCCCGAGTGTGACCCGCCGGTAAGGTAATGCGCTGAGGTGGAAACGTTCAACGCCTCACTCGTGCTCTTAGTGCCCATTGTTTTGCTCCAGAAACGAAATGGTGGCAGCGTTCCATTGCTCGGATGAGGGCATTCGTCTCCGCCATGCCCGCCGCTGGTGGCAGGAAGGCAAACAGAACAGCAGCGCTACATCAAACGGACGCAAAGTGGGGCGCCAGGTGATTATTAAACAGACCAAGCTTGCGCGGCAGTTCCGTCATTAATTGTCTGACATTCTGGGCGGAAATGTCGAGCTTCAGCCTACGTAATTGAGGCTAGATATATCTAATTAAAGGATGACTATTAGAACAAACGAATTCGGCCGTACAAATACCGTCCTGGAAAGCGATCATTGTCCTCAGGCTGCCCTCGTACGCGGTGTGGCAATCTGTCCACAGGGAACAGGTGAAGTAGTCAGAACCGAGGTTTATGTGTGGCATACACAGCTTCTTCATTGCCCTCGCTGCCCCATGAGGCCCCACTATCACGCGTATTTTTCTGCGTTGGCGAGCATCTGCAGTGATCACGACCTGCCTTGGATGTTTTTTTTTTTACTGTTCATCCCTTTGACTGCTTGTATCCCAATGATGGAGAAAAAGAGAGGAAAGAAAGAGGAGAGAGAGAGAGAGAGAGAGAGAGAGAGAGAGAGAGAGAGAGAGAGAGAGAGAGAGAGAGAGAGAGAGAGAGAGAGAGAGAGAGAGAGAGAGAGAGAGAGAGAGAGAGAGAGAGAGAGAGAGAGAGAGAGAGAGGGAGGGAGAGAGAGAAAAGCGAAATATGAGCGAGCTTCTGGGATCCGATGTCTTACGCCAGAGGATCAACGAAAGATGTATTTCATCCTCCGGGAGATGAGCACAAGTCAAAATATTGAGTACCGTCAATGGAGCCGTTATTTAGCATTACAATATCGTTAAATCAGTACCCCCTGGTATACAAAAGGTTGTTAACTCGACAAAAGTACTCTAAAATGATAAGATCCATACTTTACAGTTGGTTTCTGCCAGTACCGTCAGCCACTACCGGATTCCTTGCCGAAAGGCATTCCGCTCCAAGTTATAAAACCATAATATGCTTACCGTTAAAGAAAACCAGTGAATGCACATGTAGCGCAGGACGGGGCACTTCTGCAATCTTTACAACATATGTCTATGCCTTAAAAACTCATCAGGGCTTTAATTTTTAGACTGACCTCACATTGACCTCGGCCAGCGCAGACACCTGCTCGAAGCTTCCAAACCTCCCCCGGACACAGAATGATCACGCAGCCGTCATCATCCCCTCAGCCAGGGGAGCTGGGCTACGGGCCCAGCCCGCTGAGGCCGGTGCTGACCTTTGCGACCCTGCCGTTTGGGCGGCTGCGCGGCCCGCCGGCCGAGCACGTGCGCAGGTACGCCTCCAGCAGTTGGCGGGGCGCGGCAGAGCCGGCGTTCGCCTGGCCCCCGGCGTCCGCACACAGCAGCAGCAGCAGCAGCAGCAGCAGCAGCGGAGGCTGTCGCCACCAGCTGGCGTCAGCTGGTGACGTCATGGCTGCGTGACGGGCCCCCGCCGGGCCGGCCGTGCTGGGAACGCATTCGGTGTCGCATCAAATTACGGTCAGCAGTGGCACCGACGCTCACAGGGCTGGTTGCTCTGGGGACGTACGGATGGTCGCATCAGGGAACTATTAACTAATGCTGATCTGTACTTTGACCGACGGCGATACTGCGCGGATTCAGGAGTTAACGTTCACTTACATTCCACAAGTGTGTCCCATGACTAGAACAGATATCACACATTACCCGTATGGAATGTAGGGGAGAGTAGCGAGAGTTGCATCAATTTTTACCCTGCCGTCTCCTACTCTTACTACCGTGAGACTAGGACTAAATTTATAAATCTACAAGTAGCTACTTAGATTCATCCGAAGTGGTAAAATTTTGGAGTGCACGTCTCCGTTTTTTGGTAAATTATTTCTGAATGAGCACTTTTCAAATAACACGACCTGGCCCACCCCGATGCGAATTGTATCACATAGCAAGGAAGTTTTTCACAGGATAACGCTGAAGAATTGGAATAAAAAGAAATTGGCAGCAATATCTGGTAGCTTTGGAACGTCCAGGGTCGCTCAGACAAAAGTTATCGCATGCTTTCCTCACGGGTGGCAAGTGTATTTATAGCATAATCACGGTAGTTGTGGTTATGCAACGCCATAAACGACAGTGATAGTCATCAATGATCTCTTTACAATATTTGCTAAGATGTTTTTTTCTGTGAAATACATCCCATTCCAAGCTTTTAACAAAAAGGCAGCTTGTGTTAGTTTGAAATGGGAAGACATTCATCCACAGGAAAGCAGTTTTGAAGCTACATTCTTTAAAAAAACTCACACCAAGGACACATGTTCCAGTGAACAAAATCCGGGGGAAAATAAGGTTTTGGGCTAGGTTACGTCAATCTTTTTGGCTGAGCCCCCCAACTGATTTCAGTGAGTTACACCCATGACATGTGTAACCAAGTCTGTGACCAAGACATTGCCGACAGTGCCACGAGTGGCCACCGCCAGACAATGAGTGGCATGGGCTCACTCCCAGTCGGGTGCTCTAGCATCAATAGGCAGCGGGGCTATCACGTCGCGTATTTGATTGATGAAATCGATCAGCACACGCGGATTGGCTGACAGCAGGGACGGCCGTCAAGATAATCGGCCAATGATGCAGCGGATTAAGCCTTCAGCAGCAATGACGCGTCCGAGGTGGTCTAGGAGTATCAATCCCAGGATCCGCAAACATTTGAAAGGGCTCACCGAAATCCTGAAGTTGCCTTGCGAACTTGAAACGAACGTTTTGTCAAAATGTTCGCTGACGTAGATTCAGGAATGCCACAAAAGGGTGTAATGTATTATCCATCTCAGTGATGGGAAGCTTTTAATAGCCATGACATTTTAGAAGATAAAGCGTGCTGCAACTATCCTATTTCGAGGTCGTGATATCCAACAGCCCAAGTGTTCGGTAAAATGGGAAGTTCTTTCCGTGACCTTGTACTGCAAGTTATTCGGAAATGGTCCCATCATTCTCACGGACAAATGTAGCCCGCTAAGCTGGTTGATGTGATCAATTTTGTCGTTTTTCTGGCAAGGCGAGCTGATTTGGCATGCTAGGCTGTTTAAATCGATTACCACCGTCAAAGCATTGGTAACAAAACTGACATTTTCACAGCATTTATAAGTCGGTAGGCCTGGTGCAGGTCTAGACACATTCTTTCCTGTTACCTCACTGACATAGAAAGCACGCGACGTTTTTTCCAAAGCGTTCATGCGAAAATTTTGATTCTTATGCGCCATTCATCTCATCCAGCTGTGCCATTGGTAAGTGGAGTATGCGAATGCATGCAACTGTTTGCAGTGCGCTGATGATTTTCTGTTGTTTTTCAGCACTATCAATAACGATGATTATTTCACACGTTCCGTATGCGACTTGTCTAAACCGCTGCAAAGTCAGAAATGTAACTGTACTAAGTAAGCCCGTGGGTGCGCACAAGTCTTCACGAAAATATCGTAGAGCATACGTCGCACCATGTTTTGACCGCCGGCAAGTGTAACAGCCCGATCCCTTTAAACAGGTTGAGATAGGCGCACGTGTGGAATATTTCGGGCCGCCATATTCGAAGTTATTCATGCATCTGACGTTGTAGAAACGTCACACGAATTCCCCACCTCAATGGTAAAATATTCTGCTCAAGGTCAACAATAAATAATATGGCTGTTGGAGTAACAGTGTCATGGGTACGTCGGCACAGGTTGTCACATCGACAGTCGCCGGTTGGTTAACAGCCAGCTGAAACCATCACTTTCTCCCCTCGACCACGATTTGGTATTTGGTTAGTTAGATTATACCCCTTTGGGCCACCTATGGCCATTCTAGGCTTCGGGGAAAGGGTGATGGAAAAAACGTGGCAGGAATACGTGCACCAGGAGGCCCATCCGCCGTGGGCGCCTGTGGGCTCGGCGGTCGGACGGGGCTCTCACGAGGGCCCACTTGTGGCTGGCACGCGCAGCCTGTCCGGACAAGCAGGACATCGCAATGACGCAGAATAAGACGAAATAGAGGAAGCAAGGACGAATGCTCGATCACGAACCGCGTTTTGCGATCTGTTGCACAGGCATTTGAACAGTCCTGATAGTTATAACGGGCATGAGGCTGATAATCAAATGACTTAATGGGAATGTTCCACATTTAAAGTACTGAAGCATCAGACATAACCAAATAAGGTCACTTACAACCGATGATATACTAAGTGGAGCAGACTGCACTAGACAGCACGATTTTTCCGTTTAGTTATTACGCTCCTAAATACGTCACTGTTTGATAGCGTCATCGTACCCTGCACAACATTGAATGAGAGCCAGTTGACGGCCGTTCCGTCTGGAAATCGTGCTCACGAACGCCAGCTATGAACGACTCGACAAGTATATTTTTGCTTATCCTTGATCGCCGCGTAGCGTATGCTATGACAGTATTTGATTGGCGCTATTATGGCGTCATAGATGCCTGGGCGACCTTAAAATGGTCTCCCCGAAATAATCCGCACATCTACGTGGGCCTGTAGCTCATAAACTAGAAGGGTTCAGGTCTTAAGAAGGGCAGAGCTGTGAACATCAAAGGATCCTCAAAATGGATATTTCACTTCAAGGCCCTGTACAAATGTAGAATACTTACTTTAAAGACAGTGCCCGAACCGAGAACGTCAGTGCGCGAAGAAAATCAAGGCATCACAGAGAAGTGTTCAAGAACATCACTTGAAAAGACCACACACACGCACGTACCGATAGTGACGTAAACATACACACCTAGAGCGAAAACATCATCGTGCGGCGCTTGAAGCGCCACAGGTGAGTCACTCCGTCCACAACAGAAGCGGCCAATCGGGCGCTTAAGGACTTTATCAAAATTGGACTTCATAACGACGTTCCATAAAATCACCAAGTAGTAACATGCTGAGGAGCAAATTAACGATAGAGCACGATGTTTTGGTTTTGAGCGGTCTTTTGCACTTAAAAGCACACAAATAGCTACAAGTGAGCAGTTTCCATAACAGCTGATGCTTGCCCCATCGTCTTAAAAAGGAAACACTC